AGATCAATCATGTGTTGCGTATGTTCTCCATGGCCTGCGCCGTGGCTTTACTCTTGGATCTGCCGGCCAACACGACATTTCGGTTTTCTCTAATAATCTACCATTGGCTTTCACTCACTCGGCATTTATATCCGAGCAATTAGCCGCTTCCTGCGCCCGCAGCGAGACCACAGGCCCATTTCCGTCACCTCCATTTCAGTTTATGCGCCGCTCTGGTATTGGTGCCATCCCCAAAAAGAACGGCAAGCCGCGAATGATCCACCATCTGTCTAGTCCGGAAGGCACCGGCGCGAACGACAGCATTCCTGCCGAGCCGCTCTCTCTGCACTACGCGAGCATTGACAACACGATCAACATCATCATGTCATGCCCACAGCCTGTGTATTTATCCAAGCTCGATGTACGCAGTGCATTTCGGCAGATCCCAGTCCGCCGTCAGGACTTCGCTGGGAAGGCTCCTACTACTACGAGCGCTTTCTGCCTTTCGGCCTCCGCTCCTGCCCAGCCGTCTTTGACTCAGTAGCCACAGCAGTCAACTGGATCATGCAGCACGAGTTTGCTATAGATCACCGGCTTCACTACCTCGATGACTTTTTCGATATCTCCACTGGTTTGGCTGCAGCCAACCAGCAACTCACCATCCCCCTCCGGGCGTTCACGTATCTCGGCACTCCTCTTTGCTCCATCCCAGCTCGAAGGGCCATCACCATCATTGACCTTCCTTGGTATTGTCCTAGACTGCGAGCGCCACGAAGCTCGGCTACCAGAGGACAAGCTGTCCGAGATCCGTGCGCCACTCATGGCTACTATCAGCGAGCGCAGCATCGGCCAGCGTCAACTCGAGTCCCTCCTGGGGAAGCTCACTTTTGCTGCCCGAGTCATCGTTCCTGGACACACATTCATGCGTGAACTATGATCAGCGTGCCCTGAACTGTATCTGTGTATGCGAGTGTGCTGCATAAAGCCCACCTTGAGAATGGGTTTGCCGGCCCCTTAGTAGATGCGTGGCTTCTGAAGAGGGTGTTGAAGGGCATCCAGCGATGCCATGGTACGGCTGTACTCACCCCTCGCCTTCCTATAACTATGCCAATCCTACGACACCTGACGGATGCACGCCGGAAAAGTAGTATCCTGAATGGCCATGACAAGCTGCTCTACCAAGCCGCCATGCTGCTTCTTTGGATTTCTTCGGTGCGCTGAATTCACTAATGGCATCACACGGGGCTGTACTAGCTCCCCTGGTGACGGACGCCTGCAACTCTTCCTGCTTTCATCCAAGACGGACCCATTCGGTAAAGACGTTACTAGTGACATTGGCCCGTCTGTACCGCCGTACTGCCCGGTCCGTGCCATTGTTAGCTACCCATTTGTCACTCGTCGCGAGGGACCGGAGCAACTCTTGTTCGTACTCTCGAACAGACAGCAGCTGACCAGGCAGTCATTCACAGTAACAGTATGGTATCTTGTCGCTGCGGCCGGTGTACCATCCCAGTCGAACTACTCCGGGCATTCGGCCCACATTGGTGCAGCCACCACCGCTGCTATGGCTAGTGCCCCTGACTCCTTCTTCCGAGTGGCAGGTCAGTGGAAAGAGCGATGCGTGTCTATGCTACATCCGGACTACAACAAGCGCATAGCGCCAGCTATCGTCCCGGCTTGCTGCCGTGCCATGGATGCCATGATCCCCAACTCGGGTGAGTAATGAGCTACTGAACTCTAGCTGCGCAATGCTTGCCTGTGCTGACATTAATTGACCCTTGCTGTGCGTCAATAGTGCTTAGCTAACGGAGTGCTGGTTTCATGGGTCCACTCTCACAACTGGTGTTATCTAGCTATTTGCTGCGGCTCTGCCTTGCGCTATATTACATCCATTTAGCATTGCAGCTCTACGTTGAGCTAACAGCAGCTCTACTTTGAGCTAACAGCAGCTCTACTTTGAGCTAACAGCAGCTCTACTTTGAGCTAACCGCAGCTCTACTTTGAGCTAACCGCAGCTCTACTTTGAGCTAACAGCAGCTCTACTTTGAGCTAACAGCAGCTCTACTTTGAGCTAACCGCAGCTCTACTTTGAGCTAACAGCAGCTCTACTTTGAGCTAACAGCAGCTCTACCTTGAGCTAACAGCAGCTCTACTTTGAGCTAACAGCAGCTCTACTTTGAGCTAACAGCAGCTCTACTTTGAGCTAATCGCAGCTCTTCTTTGAGCTAACAGCAGCTCTACTTTGAGCTAACCGCAGCTCTACTTTGAGCTAACCGCAGCTCTACGTTGAGCTAACCGCAGCTCTACTTTGAGCTAACAGCAGCTCTGCTCTGAGCTAACACCAGCTCTACTTTGAGCTTCAAACCAGTTGTTTCGAAACCAGCACTCCTCAATCCAAAGATGCCTCTTTGTTGACTTGTTTGTGTGAGGGATGGGGCTAATGGTGTACTAGCTGTGCTAGTACTTGTTAGCAACAATCCGAACTAGCGCACACACTGCACTGCATTGCTTTGTACTGCATTCAAGACTGACGTCATGCGCTTTGTTTTGCTGCGTAATCACAAATGGCACCAGCCCATTTTTGCGGAAAAGAAAAAACAAATCTTGCTTGCCCTGTTGTGCTCTTCCAGACAACGGATCGTGCTTCAGCAGTGTTTCTTTTCCCACCATCCCTCCCTATCCAACTTATTCACACCATCATAATATTATCGCACCCACTAACCGGGTCCACTCTCACAACTGGTGTTATCTAGCTATTTGCTGCGGCTCTGCCTTGCGCTATATTACATCCATTTAGCATTGCAGCTCTACGTTGAGCTAACAGCAGCTCTACTTTGAGCTAACAGCAGCTCTACTTTGAGCTAACAGCAGCTCTACTTTGAGCTAACCGCAGCTCTACTTTGAGCTAACCGCAGCTCTACTTTGAGCTAACAGCAGCTCTACTTTGAGCTAACAGCAGCTCTACTTTGAGCTAACCGCAGCTCTACTTTGAGCTAACAGCAGCTCTACTTTGAGCTAACAGCAGCTCTACCTTGAGCTAACAGCAGCTCTACTTTGAGCTAACAGCAGCTCTACTTTGAGCTAACAGCAGCTCTACTTTGAGCTAATCGCAGCTCTTCTTTGAGCTAACAGCAGCTCTACTTTGAGCTAACCGCAGCTCTACTTTGAGCTAACCGCAGCTCTACGTTGAGCTAACCGCAGCTCTACTTTGAGCTAACAGCAGCTCTGCTCTGAGCTAACACCAGCTCTACTTTGAGCTTCAAACCAGTTGTTTCGAAACCAGCACTCCTCAATCCAAAGATGCCTCTTTGTTGACTTGTTTGTGTGAGGGATGGGGCTAATACTCATAAAAAGAACACACGTCAGGCTCTTTACGAACATCTTGAAAGTTTTTAGTTTCACAAGTATACTTTCAAGCCTTCTCATCAGGTGAAATACAGGCAAAGGCAAAGGAACAGGAACAGTGGATTAAGTACAGTAAGGAGGTGGTAAAACAGCGCAAAGAAGAAGATAGCTAAAGTAAACAGAGAAAATGCGTGACCTATACAAATAGCAATAATGACACAAAGGTGCAAGTGCGAGAACTCAATAAACGTGATATGTAGTGTGACAACAAGAGACAACCGCTGGAGATAACTAACGAGGTTTTGACGACCTACCTAACAGCCTAAGTGTGAATTTAAGCTTCTGCTTCTCGTTAATCGCCATTTTATTCTACTTGCAAAGTAATGGTAGAAAAGGCCTTGTCGAAACTAGATGGCTTCTGTGCTTCGTGTGCTGAATAATATTCTCTCATGTACATACAAAGCATGTCTCTGTACAACGACCCTGCAAAGTAGCCTTTCATGTTCCTTTTTTTCGGAAATTTCACCGTCTTGTTCTTCGACAAATCCAATAGCACTGTATGTGTTGATGTGCATGTATGCCTGTTGGTCCAGGGTGCCTCCGAAGCCCTCGTCGTTACGCTTGCGGACTCTAAGCGCGAGAGAGAGGCAAGAAGGCTGCAGCACAGCATGAGAGCCTCCGGTGGAGGATACGTATATATGACTGAGGACGGCTATCCACGGGTAAATCGGCTGCTTATGGGTAGTCAGTGTTCTGTGTGTGTGTGTGTGTGTGTGTGTGTGTGTGTGTGTATAAATATGTGTGTGTGTGTGTTTGTATAATTATATATATATATATGATATGTGTGTGTGTGTATGTGTGTGCGGGTGCGCATACGTGTGGGTGTATATGTGTGTGTGTGTGTGTGTGTGTGTTTGTGTGTGTGTGTGTGTGTGTGTGTGTGTGTGTGTGTGTGTGTGTGTGTGTGTGTGTGTGTGTGTGTGTGCATCCATAATTGTGTGTATGTTTTGTAGGGGGGGGGGGGGGAGTTTGTGGGTGCGCATGTGTGTGGGTGTTTGAGTGAGGTGCGTGCTTCCACATTGCCAACTATGGCAGTGGGGGAAGGAAAGGAAAGCTAGGTGTTGAGTGAGCCAGCTCAGGCTAACCTATCGGGCACTAAAAAGCTATAAGGCCCTCCCTGCCATGCACTAACCTATATTTAAAAGTGTTGGTGAACTAGCTTTGCAGACTTGCAATTGAGTGATCATACACTGCCTACGATATGGAGTGTAACAAGAATCCATTGGCCAGAAATGTAGTTTGCTTCATACAGCATGTTTGCTAGAAGCAGTAGTTGGGACATGTGAGTTATTAGGGACCTTTCGCACCACGCGTACGAATACGAAACGAATGCTGATTCGTCGCCTGGGTTCGAGGATTCGTCAGAGCCCCATATGAGGACTCGTTTTCACGAATGGAAGCCTCTTCATTCGTGGGTCGCTCCGAATCCGTCAGGTTGCATTTCTTTTTCTTTTTTTGCCAGGTAAGTGTTTTCCGCGGGACTTTCGAAAGCGTTTCAGCTCCGAAGTTCTATGTGCTTTGTTTTTGGATTTTTTTGAGATGATCAGTTTCGACCTCGATGTTCAAGTAAGTTGTCCATCGTCCTGCTTATTTTGTTTCTGTTTGTGTGTTTCTAGATATCTGACTCAGACTGCAGTGCTGCAATGGCTGACCAATCCAAACGTACCATGAGGAAGTTTGCTGCCAACCACGATGAAGCCCTCGTGAAGGAGTTGTTGGCTGGAGAGAATCAGTTTGTTCAACCTGCATCCTCCAGTGTGTGGAGCAGGATCGCAGACAGCGTGGCTACCTTGTTTCCGGACAAGATGGGTGGCCTGGCACCTCGTGGTGCCCGTGACCGTGCTGAGAAGCTCGTCCGCGATGCCCGGGCCAAACAGAACAAAGACGCCAGCGCTTCTGGTATAGTGGAGGACTTCGGGCCCAAGGAACAAGCCCTGGTCAGCGTAGTAGAGCTTTACAAAGTTGCTGCTGCTCAAAAAGCCTGTGCCGCCGACGACATGAAAAAAAGCAGCAGCAGGATGCGGAGATGAAGAGCAAGGCGGCGAGCATGAGAGATGGTGCGTTCTCATGTCTCAAGCGAAAGGCTTGCGATGGTAAGTTTTCAAACTAGACCAGAACACATGCAATGAAGTCGAATATCAACTTACAGGGTTGTGAGTTGTGTAGTTATCCACTGATTTGTCGTAGTCTCCGTGAGCGAACTTGGCTTTTCATGTTTCCATTTCTGCCAACAGGCCATAGTTCCTTGCTTGTGTATCTTGCTGCACCAACATTGACATGAGTAATACTTACAGATACATGCAGATACATGTGTGTGTGTCTTTGTGTGTGTGTTTGTGTGTGTGTGTGTGTGTGTGTATGTGTGTGTGTATTGTGTGTATGTGTGTGTGTATTGTGTTTATGTGTATGTGTGCGTGCGTGCACGTGTGTATGCGTGCTAGAGTGAAAGTTTGTGTGCGCGCTTGCGTTCAAATTTGGTTAGATTTGTCAGTTCACAGAATCTATTTGCATGTCTATTTCACTTGTGTGTGTATGTGTGTGTCTGACTGCAAGTGTGTCTTTGTTTGTGTTGGATTGTGAGTGTATGTGTGTGTTGATGTTCACGCGCGCGCACGCGTGCACTCTTATTTCCAAATTTGTTTAGATTTCATAGGGCCACACTGAAGAAGGTCTGTGGTTCGACTAACCCGACCGACCGTACATTTTTCAGCCCGACCGTAACTTTTTTTCGGCGGGCTGTCGTGTGACTGACGTACGTGGACTGAACACGGCCACGTCTACGTGCTGTGCAGCGTGAGTCTGCGGACGCAGGCGGCTCCTTTGGCTTTTGGACTTGACTTGTAGTTGTACTGCAGTGCAGTGCAGTGAGTGGTACGACTGCTGCCTTGTGCTGGTAGTAGAGTCTACTCGATACGACCACCGGCAGACTGGCGAGACTTATTTTGAAGTGACCGTCCGGTTGAGAGTGATTGCCTCGTTCCAGATTAAGGACGGCCTTCTGTTTTGGGATGAAGGACAGACGAGATTGCACTTTCCTCGTGTATTGGGAACGATATTTCACCTGTACCGGTAAGTTGCTGCTCCATGTGTGCAAGCACAGGAAGCGTCGATGGAAAAAGCCCATGTATTCGTGCACGCCGACACCAAACTAGCAATACATGTACCGGTACATTGTACAATTTGTACTTCGAAGTAGTTCCCGAACTTACTTTCAACTCGCATCGTTCTTCATTTGCTTGATGATTTGGACAGTCAGAGTCACCGCTTGAAGTTATTCTCTTCTCGTTCCAGAGCTACACAATGTTTCAAAGTATTAGCCAGTGATCCCTTTATACAACATGTATGGCATAACACTGCGTAATAATGCCGATGTACTGGGTGTCTAAAGGCAGTACAGTGTATTTACATGTACTAAAAAATATATTTAAAAAAAAAAAATCCGCCCGCCCGCCCGTAAAAAAAATGTCCATGTTAGTCGAACCACACACCTTCTTTAGTTTGGCCTAATGTATAAATTATATTTACACGTCCGTCATAAGTATGTGTGTGTGTTTGTGTACCTGTGTGTGCATTGTATTAGGGTCTGACGATGAGGCTGATGACGTAAGATCTTCCAAAGGAATTTCGCCAGCAAAGAAGAATTCTGCCATTGGCAATATGCTCGAGTACCTGGACAAAAAGCATGCCGCAGATAGTGAAGTCAAGAAGGAGGAGCTAGCCCTTAGCCGTGAGCAGTTCGAGGAATCTAAGAAGCAGGCCGCAGACCAGCTTTCTTCGCAGCGCGAGCAATTTACTGCCTCCACGGTCCAGGCACGGGATCAGTTGACACTCCAACGTGATCAATTTACTGCATCCGAAAAGGAGCGAAATACCATGCTGCAGCTGATGGGTAAAATGATGGACAAATTGAACTAACGTTTAGCACTTGTTTTCTGTGTTACATTTCTGTTGTAGCATTTCTTTCATTTTACCTTCTCTGGCTCCTTTATTGTATTCAATTTTCTAAACTGTGAATACAACCGTGAACATAAATGTTGTTCATGGTGTTCTGTAGTGGGGGAGAGGGGGGGGGGGGGGGGGGGGGCGGAATGCTGGGCACGAAGTGCAGGCAGGAGTAGATGGCAAGTTCTTTTAGTAGAATATGTAGCATGTCAAGGAGCGGAGAAGAGAACCATGGCACAATAATAGGAAATAATCATCACACCTGCTCTTTCCTTCAGCATTGCAAACTCACAGCTCAGTCCATTGTATCGGTTTTGCCATTTTTCTCATAAATTATAATGTTATCGTCAAGATGCAATATGCGCAAGTCTGCAAAGGAGCAGTGATACTTTGGAGTGAGAAGTGAAGTTTCCTAAAAGTGATATACCAGCACCAAATAATAATTTTAATTAATAAGAAAAAAGGCTGGATAAAGGAACGAGAAATCGTAACAAACAAAAGCAAACTAATATTAAAATTGAAAACAAAAAGCTGGTAGTTAGTTAGTTCTACAAGAATGGGAAGCCTGCGAATTCATTATATCTGCAAATACTCCTCAGTGCTTGGAGGTGCCAGATCAAAGTGCCTGCCAGTTTCACTAGCGAAGAGACAAGTGTGACAATTGGTCAGCAAGACGGCGCAAAAGTAATGCGAGGCCACAGGCTGTAGCAAAAGCTTCTGATTTTTTTGTAATCCACAAAAGAAAGGTATTGCACGACTTTTGCAAAAGACCACTCAACAGCAATACGACCACGGCTCATCTGTGTATTGAATAGCTGCTGATCATGAGTAAGAGCATTTCCAGCTACCGGCACTTGCAGCTGAGGTCGGAATGGATAAGCTGGATCACCATAAATACAGTGAGGGTCGCCGTTGTCAGCAAGAGGGAGAGTAGCCAATTTATCCAGAATTTGGCTGTCCCGAAGGATTGCAGAATCGTGTTGACGCCCATCGGCAGGTCCAAATAAATGCAGGATGAGGCCATCAGGTGAAACTACCGCCTGATACTTCAAACTATGAACCCGTTTATGGCCGTTGAGGAAAGGACGTTAGTTATATATGGGCTTGCAGATGGGCCTCACCGTCCCATCGATGAACCCAAAACAGGTAGTTAGGGGGCATATATGGTGCACGGCGTCTACACACATCCTCAGGCGCTGGTGGAAGTTGTCCAAGTGGCCTCTCCATCTATTTGCAAGTTCAATGCACATTACATTGAATATTATGCTGAGGTATGAAGGACTGCGCCCAAACAGAGGGCAGAGATCCTTCAGACGACATGGGTAAGCCAGCCGCCGCAACACAAGACAAAGGCCTTCCAAGCCAAACCACGATTTCCTGTCAACATACCGTAAAGTCGCGGATAAAAGCCGGGTTTGCATACAAGCACATCGCGGACAGAAGCCTGAAAATCAAACGGGTCAAATGCATATAAGCCTGTCGCGCGTAGAAGCCTGGCTTCTGTGCAAGCGCGGATCGGGTAGGTCCAGAGTGCATGCACTATGTACAGTGCATAGTAAACGTGAATACAAGCCTGGCAAAAAATACCAGTAGTGCATATAAGCATGGTTTGCATACAAGCCTGGTTTGCATTGAAGCCTGATGCAGAAACCGGATTATGTGCTTATAAGCCCGGCTTTTATCCGCGACTTTACGGTACGTGTACTCGTCCTGTAGGCCCAATAACCGTCGCAGCATCTTGATTTGCTCTGAAGAGCTCGATGCAGTGTGCATCGCTGATGGCGTCCAAATCGAAAGGAGGCCCAAACACTTGTCGTGGCGCTCGCTGGTCTTCTTCCATGGCCAGCAGCAATAAAAGCAGCTCCTCCTCATCAACGATTCCGTCTGCATGGGCCTCCAGGAGCACGGAATACATCAGCTCAAATTCTTCCCTCAACCTGGTCCATGATTACGATGATTCGACATTTAGAAAAATAACTAATTACTTTGACTCTGTCCTTTCACAGCATTTTTCCTTGACTCCACGCACGTGTGGACGCGCGTACGACAAGCTACCAACTGCATTCGTAGTTACCATGGAAAATGGCATGACGACTTGCGAAACCTGAATTCTGTTTTCAACGAAACGAGTACGAGCTAGGCCTTGGCAGAATGCGAAAAATTATGCAAGCATAATCTGATTATGCTTGCATAATTTTTCGCATAATTCCTACCAAAATCGAATAATCGCATAATTCGAGGCAAATTGCATACGAATCGCATAAAATTGGAATAATCCGCCTGTTCGCATCAAATTCCATACAGTTGTACAGTCATGTTCTACAAGTACAAGTACAAGTAGATGCACCAGGAAGTCGTAGGTTTACGACTCCCTTGAGAATATGTCCAGTCCACTGCAATCCCGCAAACCAAATCGAACTCCCTCAACCCCAGGGTCTACACGCAAATATCATCCATGGGTTTCCACTGAACTACGCAAGGCTATCAAGTTGAAGCGTGACCTATTCAGCCTCTTCAAGAAATTCCCTACGGACTACAACCTATCAGCATATAAGGCACAGCGGAACCAGGTGAGACATCTCTCCCGCTGGTGCCACCGCCAGTACATTCGTTCAATCAAAACAACACTTACCTCAGGCAGCACTACGCTTCACCAGTTTGTCCGCAGTCAGCGATCGCACAAAGTAAAACCTGGCATCCCTGACATTGCAAGCCCTGATGGGCTGCTGGTGTCCGACAGCTTCCAAAAAGCAACCATCCTCAACAAGCAGTTTACCTCTGTCGCGGTGCCTGATGACCCACGTTTAGTAATACCCCCTCTCCAATATGACACTCGTCTTACTCGCCAATTCGCCCGCGTTCATATCACTACAGCAGATGTTCGTAAAGCCATCTCAAACCTGAAATCTGGGAAAGCGCCAGGGCTAGACGGTATCACGAACAATATGATAAAGAAGCTAGCTCCTGCGATTTCTTTTCCACTTAGCCGCCTATTTAACCTCTCCTTTACCACAGGCAAGTTCCCTACTGACTGGAAACTGGCTAAAATTGTGCCTATTTACAAGTGCAAAGGCAGCAAATCTCAAGCTAGTAACTATCGCCCAATTTCCCTCCTGTCCTGTATTTCAAAACTTTGCGAACGGCTCTTCTTCAATCAATTGTATAATCATATTTCTCCTGCTCTGGATCCCGCGCAATCTGGGTTTCGTCGTGGTGACTCGACCGCTCTACAGCTCACCAAGCTGATCCAAAACATTGCCGACCATCGTCATATGGGGCGGAAAGTTGCCATGTGCTTTTTCGACCTCGAGAAAGCTTTCGACACCGTGTGGCACCGTGCATTACTTGCTAAACTTTCCAAAGTTTTCGGTGTGTGTGACTCAGCGCTGGAGTGGATTACAGACTACCTATCCGACAGAACGCAAGTTGTCTTTGTAGGTGGAACTCTCTCAGATGCTTCACCTGTTCTGTCCGGAGTGCCCCAGGGATCCATCCTAGGGCCCCTCCTTTTCCTAGTATATATAAATGATCTTCCCAGTCATGTTGAAGGTGTGTCCTTATTTGCTGACGATACTGCACTGCTCCGGTTCAATGAGTGTCTAGACAGGCTGCGAGACAGTCTCCAGCGCGGTATCAACGAAGTCCATCAGTGGATGACTACCTGGAGACTAAGACCTAATATCGCCAAGACTGAGATATTATTCCTGCCGAACTCAGAGCCAACCTATGCATTCACTCTTCCCGGATCCCTCACAGACCTCACAGTGGTAAAACAACACAAACATCTTGGTTTGGTCATTGACTCAGACTTATCGTTTAGTAGACATGTCGACTATATCTGTAGCAAAGTCAGTAAAGCTGTTGGCTACCTCGTGTCTCACTGCTCACACCTACCGCTTGAATGCATTCGACTTTTTTATCATTGCTATATTCTCCCCATTTTTCTCTATTGCTCAACCGCCTGGTCATCCCTACTTAGTAAATCGTTAATGAGTACCCTGGAAGTCCACAATAAGAGGATACTCAAAGTCCTTTTCCGTAAACCATCATACTTTCCTTCTGCCGAGCTGTATGATATGTTTAACACCTTCCCTATCTCTAGTCAAGCGGATCGAAAACTGTGTATTGTTGTTCATTCTATTCGTCTTGAAAAAGCCCCGCCACACTTGCGTAAATATAACTGGTTTCTTCCCACTCGTCCTACGCGCAATCCCTGCACTTTACCTAAAGCCCGAACCTCAGCTTATACCAGATCTCCGTTTTTTGCTGCCTATTCTCTCTGGCTGGCCCTGCCTCTATCAGTAAAATCGTCTTGTACGCTAAAGGATTTCAAGGCCAACATGAAGCTCGTGTTCTAATAACTGCTAGTTCTTCATCCACATTTGTTTCTCAGGCTTTGCCTCCAGTAATGTGTAATATTTATTTATTTTTGCTTTGTTTTTGTTTACTGCCATGGCTGGCTACCGCCCCCCTCCCTCCATATTGGCCTATATTCTCTGGCCACGGGAAGGTGAAATAAATAAATAAATAAATAAATAAATCAGTGACGGTCGTAGCTAGGTTGAACGGTGCGTTGACCCCGTTGAACTTTTGCTACTAGAGAGGTTTCGACCCGCGTGATTTGTGCTCTTACGTGAACGTCAATTTTTTGCGTCGACGCGAGCTCAGAAAGAGCTTTCGTTTCACGTTGCTTGTGAAGCACGTCGTGTCGCTGACGACAGGAGCGAAAACTGGGAGCGAAAACTTCAAAAAGTGAAAAAAGTGATTTTTGGTGAGGCCGAAGTCGCACAAATATTATTTATAGCTAGTTTAGGCAAAATCGACAAATCGAGTCAATAATCCCAACCTGATAGCAAGGCTAATTTTGCAAAAACTCGCGTTCACGTCGAACGTGAGTTGACCTCAACTCACGTCATGAACGGGAGTTTCGACGCCAAAATTTGCCACACCGAAGTGAAATTTCACGGTGTAGTGCAGAACAACGTGAAGCGAAACCTCTCTACTACTGTACAACGCCCTCTACAAAACATTCCCCTGTTATTTTGCACAGAACCATTATACATAAGCAGCGTATGTGAG